CATGCTTGCTTGGCTTGAGCCAGATTAACCCACTACAGACTTAGATACGTGAACCCAGTCAAGTTAGATACATTAAGTGTAACCAGTCAGTTCACATTTTGAGCGAGGCCGAAAAACTGTCGCACAGGCACAGAGTAAGTGTCCAGACATATATTTTGCCGAAAATTGCGCCATCGCATGCGGCAGTTTGGGGAAAGGGAGGATGTTCTACTCAGTAATTATTATAAAGACGATCTCCACACACTTTCTGGTGAATAAACTTCAGCTCTCAATGTTTTGCCTTACGGTTAAACGTAAAGTTTAGTCGCGAACCCAAAGAAAATCCTTCAGGACAAACCCTTCCAGACGCGGTCTTTCTAGCTATTAGTTGTGTCTCCGTGTCATGTTAAAACGGCATTTTGATTGCCCGCTCTCACTTATCGGCATTACCATTGGGAAACAGATGCAGCAGTCTACAGTGTCTACAAATTGACTAATGGTTATGTAAATCAGTCCGAGATAGCAATATCCCACACGAGCGGTCACGGTAATTACCAACATTGCGTCAGATCCTGTGGTTGTCGCCACGCCAATAAATAGACTAATTCCGCCGTTGTCAAATAAATTAAACCGGTCCGTCGCAATCATTTCCGTCCACCCTTTAAAAGCATCTTCACTACGCAGGAGAAAGGTTACGCCTTTAACTGTACTATTGTACAGCATGAATGGAATACGACCCCAAACTGGGACCACGAACACAAAAAACGCAGAGCACGCCGCAGGCCCAGACCGAAAAACGTGCAACCGAATCCCGGTACTAAGTCAACTAAGTCAGAGGTAAGTGTGAGGGAAAGACAGCAAACTCAGTCCCACTCTTTATTGCAATCGAAAAACAAGGGGAAATCTGGGATTCATAGTTTCGCAAGTGGGGCCTCCAGCACCAGCCGATTGTCCTTCAAAACAGCAGTCGCTGAGCAGGCGTCAATCGTCTGGGGGACAGCATAGGTCTTGCAGAAGTGCGCAGCTTCAGAGCTATGTTTTTCACCAGTGGCAATCTTCTCATCATGCTTTTCGGTATGAGTGCCGCTGATACGCACGCTGTTGGCATCCATCCTGATGGTGATGTCCTTCGGCTCCAAGTGCGAATCTACGGGCACCTCTAAATGCAATTTCTTGTGTTCCCCATCACCCACCACAACGGCACCATCCTTGCCTGCGCGTAAAAAGACGAGAGTGAGTAGTGATGAAGGGGAAACAGGTAAGCAAACAAACCACATCAAATATCGACAAATACCTACCAGTGACAGCAAGTTCCATGCCAGCAGGCGCTTCTGTATGTGGTTTCGCGGCAAGGCAAAGTTTGCGATCGTCGTCAAACTTGTAGACGCTGTAGTCAGGTTCTTTGACCGGCGCTTCCACCACCAACACACCATCCTACCAAGCAAAAAGTAAGTTTAAGAAAGGCCATAAACATCAGATCCCTACACAGAAGGTCATTCACTCACAGACGTCAAGGTAGCATGGAAGTCGTCCTTCTTCACTTTGTCCGGAAGAACTATCGAACGGCAAAACTCGCGAGTACGCACTCCACCATCAGGCAGATCTTCCTTCTTTTTCCCATGCACAACCAGACAATTGCCTCTTGTGGCCACCTCAACGTCTTCCGGCTTGAAGTCTTGAACATTATAACGAGTCTTGAAATACAGCTGTAAAGGAAAGCTAACTCGTCAGAGTCTGTCTTATAAAAACTCGCCTAACCAAAAGTTGGATACTTACGTGGCCATCCTTGCCAGGCTCATAAGCATCTGCCAAGTAACCGAGTTGGTTGGCCACGTCACCCGTCGGCGCTGCCACCTTCTCGAGCGCTTCTGCATTCATGGCCTTGATAGACTCCTCCATCTCACGACGAAGAGTCTCCATTTGCCGATCCACAGCATCGAAGACGGAGGGTATACCCGTGCCGAAGACATCAAGGGGCTAAGGAGTAATGAATTGAACGGCGTATGAGTGGCCAATAGAACAAAAAATGAACAGTCTCAAACTCCAGGACTAGAGTTGCTAACCTCGAGATTGAAGAAGTTACTAGGCATAAGAG